ACTAACATTGCAAAAGCCAAAAACAGCGATAACCAAGCAGTAAAAAATAAAAACGGCCATTTGTTGAAGCATTCGACTGGTGAGTAACGTTTTTGTGAAAGCAATAAAATGGTTAAACTGATCACTATCGCTGCTGTTCCAAACCCAAATGATACTCTTAAATATTTCCTAAAAAAAAAAAATCAGATTAAAGCTGAGTTTTGAACTAAAGAATAACCAAAAAGTTTTTGTAAGGAAATGAATGAATACAAAGTCAAATAGTGGTGCAATTACAATTAATGAATGAAACAAGAAGAAGTAAAATTGTTTTGGGGAATAATCATTGGCAAAAATCTGATAAAACTTCTTTTTTTTTCTCCCCACAATCGAACTAACCTATTCATATTTGAGCAATACAATAAATATGTTGAATGAAGAAAAAAATGTCAAAATTTTATGCTTATATCAGTCTTACCAGTTGATTCGAGAATTAACCAACAACTGTATCGGTAAGTCAAAATACCAGCATGTCAACGCAAAGGTGCAAAACCACAAAATATCGTCAACCTGAAATGAATTTATTAACTTCTTTGATCTTCTTTATTCTAAAAAAGTCGTCAAAAATTCTCTGATTCAATTTCATAGCTGGAAATAAAATCCAGTTGAAGTTAAAAGACAAAAAGAATAATTGTAAAAAAATTAGAAGCAATAAAAAATAGACAAAAAAAAAGAAATACACTTTCGGATAAGTGAACAAAAAAAAAATAAAGTTTTTTCTTCTTTTACCCTAATTTTTTCCAGTAAATATCGGTTAAAGAGAAAATTTGGTAAATTGACACCATCATCAGCACTGCCACTGCAATCACTATCAAATTTACTGTTGGTGATGTTTATCAGTGAAAATAAAAAAACTTTTGAACCCATCGTAAATGAAATATTCAATTTCAGTAGTGCCGTCGTTCAAATAAGTGATCAGAATGGAGACCACCTTTACAGCACTACTAACCATTATCAACTATGATAAGGCTATTTAAATGTATAGTTTGCAAATTTGAATTGTAGAAAAAAAAAAAAAGAAGCTTAAATGATGTTTGATAAAAGTTCAACTTGTTAACTATGACAATAAGAGTTTTTTTATTTTTTTTTTTTTTGAAATTTTATTGTCCCGTTTAAACAGTTGTTCAGCAACTTTAAAATTTTGCCTATTTGATGAATGATATCTGGCACAAAAAAAAAAAAAAAGCTGTTGTTTTTTTTTCTCTTACAACATTGGATATTCTTTTGTCTTTCTTCTTTCAAAAGCTAAAACCATATCAAAAAAAAAAGGAAAAAAAACAACCAAATAAAAATTTGAAAAAACGAAAAGGAATGACAGACTTTTTTGTTTCTGTTCTTCTAAAGCTCTTTAACAAAAGAAAAACAAAGGACACAAATAATGTAAATTGTTTTTGTTGCACCTTTTTCAACTAATATTTTAAGTAAACTGAACTTGAAAAGTAGAACTAATTAAGAAAAAAAAAAATTATGCACTTTTTTTTCTACCGTCAAAATTCAATTGCAACTGCACTAACAGTAAAAACAATAACTTAAATAACTGTTCGAAATGAACATATCTCAATTTAATTAACCCTAAAATGTTGTTTTTCTTCTTTATCCTAAACTATGACTGCTAAACCGTTTGAAATCGAAAAAAAAAAAGTAACAGCCGAACACCAATAAAAATCGGTTAGCTTCTCATTAATTTTAAAATGAATGTTGATCTCTGACTTTTGCTACATTTTGTTGGACAAATTCTGTTCTAACGCTAAGTATACTTCTTTTAAATTCGTCTATTAAAAGTTGAAGACAAAAACGTTCATCTTAATATTCTTTGCATAGACATTCTTCCAGTCGCTAATGCCGCCTCAGAACTTCGCCACTGCAACAGAATCAACAAAAAACTTCTAAAATCAATTCTATTTGCTGTTATTGCTGCTGCTGCTGTTGGTGCATTTTTCTATTCTGACGGTGCTGCAACAGCAAAAATCCCATTAATGTAACTTTTGTTTTCCTTAGACTTTCCAAATGAATACCGTTTTTCTCAGCATCAATGCTGCTCTATAAACATTCAAAAAGAGCTTGGTTTGGTGTTGTTTTAGTAGCAAGGCTATTGTTCAGTGTAAAAAGAGAAAAAAAAGACTTGAAAACAGCAAAAAGAAAAAAAAACACTAAGTAAACTATCAACTTTCTCCCTTTCAGTTAGCCTCAATGAAAACATAACTTCCACAGTTTCTCGAAACATTAAATTTTTGCAAAATACCCTTTTCTATTCTTTTCCTTCTTCTTCTTTTTTCTTCTGTCAAAAAAAAAAA